AATCGAATAAATAGATTAAATCAAATAAATAAATATATGAATTGCTTTGCAGACATGGTCTATACATTGTTAATTTGATGCATCTCTTCTCGAATACTTCATAGGAGTTTATAATGTTGAGCAAGTTCTGTAGTGCACATATCTTTGGGTTTGTAGAAATACTCTAGCCATTTTTGTTATATGACCTTTACAGCTTGAATTTTTCTCTTAACCTCTCTTGCAGTTTAACTTTTCTAACAGCATTCTGCATCCACAATTCATAACGACAAATTGCTTCTTTTTTAAAGTAGGAGTTACTAAGATTAGCTTCGAATCTGCTTTTAAGTTCTATATAGTCTTTATAACTTATATCACAATAAGCATTTTCTGTGCAATTTGTACTCCAATGCTCATTCATAAAATGACAAAATCCACACTCATATCCACATCCTATTTTAGAATAAATGAGCTTGTTGCACAAATAACAGATTGCTATATTTACACCTATAGCATAGCCAAGATCACCCTCATATAAATATACCATCTTTTTCACAATGAAATAATACTTTTTGTTATCATTCAAGCGATTACTATACTTATAGTTCATCAACTGATCCCAGATTTATTTTATCCAATCAGATGGGGTTTCTCCATTACAAATTACAGAGAATTGACAATTATCTCTCTATTCATTCAGTATCACTCAAAACTGGACAATTATTTGTGTAAACCATGTTTAATGATTAAGTGACTTATAGTGTTTTAGAGATTATGCGATTATAGCAAATTTAGGATTATTGCTAAAAGCAGTCACACAGTGGCTAGACCTATTAGATTTTATCAATTATATATATTATAAATAACTGATTCAATTTTATACACTCAAATAAACACATATTAGAGTCTCAATAATATATAGGTTTCTTATTTAAAAGATTCAAAGGCATTTTTGCTCATACAAGTTGTCATAGTTAATTAGAAGCATGGAATAAGTTATGAATATGAGAAAAAATAAATATATATCAAGATTAGAATTATGTTTTATGTAAGCCAATCAAGTTCCCTTTGCCTATTTTTTGCAGACCAAACAAACCACCCAAGCCAAAGTACTGAGCCACCAGCAATAATGATCATGCCCTTTTAAAAACACAATATACAAAGTCAGAAGCCCTATCATCAAGAGATGAAAACTCAAGCAAAATTTTTTGCATAACTATACATACCTATAAACAAGTAACCTGGGTGGTCATTCTATCAACACAAAAGCAATTCAATATAAATTAACAAATTTGAAATGCAATACATACCCGGTTTAGGTTGAATATAACTTTACTAATCGATAACAGTATGGTAAGGTATTGCAGAGCAATGAGACAAGTCTCTTAAATTTTGTTTATTATTTTTTCTGGTGAATGCATTCAATCACTCTCTGTGGTGTGGTTCAGTTGTTTAGGAAGTCTGTGTCACCTTCCCCCTAATACACGCCCCACATCGAGGATGACGATCACGCCCAGGATAAAGGAAAATGTTATGTATTTATCTAAGTTTCGAGGTGGATACATTCAAACTATTTCTCATCTTGTAGTTCAGTGAACTAAACCGTGGGAAGCCTGTGTGATCTTCCTCTCCTTACTACGCAAACAATGATAAATTGACGATCGTGCCCTCTAAAATTGGGTTTTTATAAGCATAGAAAAAAATAAATTGTGGGGAGGTAACAGTTGGATCCCGGGCCCACTTTGAAAAGTAATGACTGCACCTGAGAAGATTATGCATAGTCAGAGGCCCTATCGCCTAAAGTTATAGACGAAATTTTTTGTATGACTATCAGAGAAAAAGTATAGTAAGGTGGATACATTCAAACTATTTCTCATCTCGTAGCTCAGTGGACTAAACCGCGGGAAGCTCATTAGGTCTTCCTCTCCTCGCTACGCAGACAATGATAATCCAATGATCGCGCCCTCAAAGTGGTATATAAAAAAAATGTATATATGGAATGAATTTTTTTGTATAAATAACGAGGAAGAAGTATAATAACAAAAAAGCAAGGTAGATACATTCAAACTATTTCTTATCTTGTAGTTCGGTGGACTAACCACGGGAAGCTTGTTCGGTCTTCCTCTTCTTACTAACAAGGCAATGATAGTTGACGATCATGCCCTCAAAGCAGTGTTTTTATAAGAGTAGAATAAAAAAATAAATTTTAGGAAGGAAACAGTCAGATCCTAGGCCTACCTCGAAAGGTTATGACTGCATCTAAAAAGACTATGTTATTAAAGGATAACTAGCATATTTTTGCGGAACAGACAATCACTTTCGCCAAAGTACTGGGCTACCAAATGGTAATTATGAGCATGTTCAATCTCACAACACACATAGTCAGAGGCCCTATCGCTCAATATTAAGAGACGAAATTTTTTGCTTGACTAAGCATACCCGCACAAATAGCTCCAGCAACTGTCTTATCAACACAAAAACTATCTAGCATAAGAAAGGAAAGATTGGTAAAAAATTTTAGATAAAAAATGAAAAAAAAGATTTTATATATGGGACCCCCATAGCAAAAGGGTGCAATGAAGCAACCAATCAGATTTTGAGATTTTATAATAACTAATTGCTTATAGGTCTTGTCTTACAATATGTATATTTTTTTTACTAAATATATTAATAAATAATGTATAAATCGAATGTTTTTTCTTTGTGATTGTTATAGTAAAATTCAAAGCAAATCAATTTACTATTGCGTACCATTGCTGTTATATATAATTGCTTTGATCTACAATTTTACTTATTTTCTAATGTAAATAATTCAATATAGAATAGTGCATACATGTAAATAACTCAGAAAATGTAGGGTATGTATGTATGTATGTGCATATACATACACGCATCGAAAAGTCTTACTCGCACATGATCTTAGACTGTGGATGTACTTCAGCCCATGTAAGGCAGGATATTAAAATTTTATTACATTACTTTGCGACGCATAACATTAGCTGGTAGTTTCCCACCTGCATAATGCCAGCTGTGAATATGAAGGTTTTGCAAAAATGGTATGCATAGAATGGGTGGGCTGGGTACGAATGTTTCGCTTTCAAAGGCCCTGGCAGCCTGCTGCTGTTTGCCCTTATATCCAGCCCCTATTCATCTTGGCCATACCTCGAATAGTTATTTGATTGATTCTGTTTCCCTGCACCTATTTACATCGTGATTGTCAGCACACCAGTGCATCATTGCATCGATTGCCTTTTCGATCTGTTGACCCATCAACTCAAAACAATTACACAAATGCAATAAACAAATTCTAAGCTACAGAAATTCTAATACTTCGTTTTATTGCTTTTAATAAAAAGATGGAGTATAATATATATTCTAACGATGATAGCATTAATGAGATTATTTTCTCCGCCTTAAAAGATTTGGATGATACCTTTTTTGTTGAACCTTTAGGTTCTGAAGATGAGAAGGAAGAATCTGATTCTCTGTCAGATATTGAACCAACATCTGATGTGGATGATGAAATTCCTTCAAGTAAATTAAATGAATTTGTTTTCGAAGATATACCAGATAATTACATTGAAGACAAAATCTATGATGATTTAAAATTAGAAGTTCAGAATTTTTTTGAAAAAGGCACGTGTTCATGTCGCTATGAACAATCCTGTTTTAAGCAAATTGGTTATGAAAAGTTTCTTGCACGTCGAGCTGCATTTGAGAGTTTGGATAAGAATATGCATGATATGGTTATTAAAGGGCAATTAATGGCTTTTCAAAAAAGTGAGGATACAAAAAATGTTACTAAAGCGAGTAGAAAATATTTGCATTTTGGTTACTGCTATAATAAAGATATTCCAGTCTGCCGTAATACATATTTAGCTCTTACAGGAATTGGTCATAAATATTTAGAAAATATAAAACATCATTTACAAGAATATGGTCTCGAGGAACGTGTACATGGCAATACTGGTAGGGCTCTAAAAAATATGAATCGTATTGAAGTAAATTACGATATAGCATATGATGTTTTTAAGTTCTTAAAAAATTATTCTAATATACATGGTTTGCCATCTCCCGGACGTCATTTCAATAAAATTTCTATGCCAATCATGTTTCTTCCAACTAGTCTTAGTTATGCTTCAGTATACCGTGATTATGTGTTAGCTTGCAAAGATAAATATGGGGAAGATGCTCGTATTATGTCTGAATCAACCTTTATTAATATTTGGAAAATTTTATTTCCATCGCTTCAATTTATGTCTCCAAAATCTGATTTATGTGAAACTTGCGAAATGATAAAAATGGATATTCAATATGCTACCCAACATGAAAAAAAATTAGAACTTACTAATAACTATTTGGCTCATTTAAATCGTGCACAAAAAGAGCGTAATTACTATAATAACAATATTAAAAATGCAATTGAAGATGGAAAATGCAATCAAAATAAAGTTCCTGAGTATTTTTTAAAAATTTTAAAGGCAGTGCACACATTGCATACGATTGGGCTCAAAATGTGCAAATACTATATTCACCTCAACAAATCGGTTCCTTATATTTTAAAAGTTCTCGAAAAGTGCATTTATTTGGTGTTTGTAATACTGATAATTTTCCGCATACACAACAAATTAATTACGTAATTGATGAAGCAGAAATGCCCAATGATGGTAAGCAAGGGAAAGGTGTAAATTGTACTTTAAGCTTAGTTTGGCATGCAATTCAAAAATATAATCGTGGAAAAAGTAAATTAATTATCACATGTGATAACTGCGTAGGTCAGAATAAGAATAACTATTCATTATTTTTTTTTTTCATAGTAAACGTAGGTCGTATAACAGGTGTTATATGCCAAATAAGCTCAAATAAACTCACGC